TTTCCTACCTAACTCACTTTCCAACCATTTCCCTATCAATTACATTTTCTCAGTATTCAAAAAATTTATCCTCGACCAAACGCCCCCTTAGGATTAAAGCTTATTCTTCAAGATGTGGATTTTTCTGCATGGTTGGCAAGATGTGGAACGTGGTGATAATAGTATCGTAAGATTCAAAGGACTCAGACATTTAAAAAAAGAAAAATCAAAGAGAAAAAGGATTCACAAACTATACTTGAAAAATCAAATTGGAACCAACAAAGCCCGTCACAGTTGGTAGATAACTGGGTTCTTTAAGCATGCTGACAGGGGTTCGATCCCTCGCCATGTGTATAGAAAAGGCTTTGTTGGGAGAGGCTGTACCTACGATCGCGTGATCTCTCTACTTCGAGAGGATTAGTCCTTACCTTTTGACTGTGGGATATCCTTGGAACAATTTCAAAAAAAAAAGAGTCAAATTGGAGAAAAAAAATATTTAGTTGTATTTTTTTTTCAATTCTATTCATTTCCGCACATGGGACCAATCTGAAAGCGTGTTTAATTTTCCAAAGTATATCACATTTTTTGTTTACCTATTAGTCATATAATAAGGTGATTAAGTTTAGTTAATCATAACTAAATAATAGTTTTAATGTTTCTATAATAAATGTAGATAAATTATTTATATTTACTCTCAAAATAATCTTCTTTTGAGTTAAAAAATTAAAAAATTATAATAAGAAAAACTATTATAACCGTAAAATATATTATATTTATAAAAATATTTTGATTTTTGTCCCAAAACACAACATCTTAATCTCAATATAAAGAATTTATCTATATTAATACGCAAAAAAAACCCTTAAATAATCAATTGAAAGAATTCTAAGTTTTAAATAAAAAATCATCAATAGAGAAATTACGATTTAAGAAAAAAACTAGAACGAAGACGGAGTTTACAAAATTTCTCAATTCTTTTTGCACTGCTTGCCCTAACCACCCCTATCTCTTTTCTGGTGGATCACCCCCGTCGCCGGCCTTAAAATTAAACCACGCCGGTACCTAGTGGCGGCACCACCCTCGTTGACCGGTGGTCCCAGCCACTTCAGTTGCTGGCGGCTAAAGAAGACAAAGAAAGAAGAAGAAGAAGAAACCATTTCCTTCATTCATTTTAAGCTCTTTGTTTCAATCACTTGGTGAATCGAACAGAATCCTGGAAGTAGCAGTATCAACTTTCACTCCATTGCTAAACTTCATGTTGGATTAAAATTTTCTCGAAATTTTAACTGTGGCTGCTCGTATGAGTTTGCAATTGTGGTTTTTCGTTTTTGCATTGTTTTTGAATGATGAAGAATAATTTTATTTTTTTTGAAAAATAGCTGTTTGTTTTTTTTTAAATTAAAAATTACTTATAAGTTAAAGTTAAAAATGACTGAAAAAATGTTAAAAGCTATTTGTTGATTAGATAAAAAATTTAGATTAAAAGTTACTTAAAAATACATGTTTCAAGAAAATTCTATTTCTATCTTTATACCTTTTTGTTTAAAAAAATACATATAATTTAAGAAAACTTAATAGTAATTTTTGGCTTTTAATTTTTTCTCTTTTATTATAAAAAAAGAACTTCCTTATAAGAATTTTTCTCAAAACTTATTTAGTCTAACTTTTACTTATACATAATTTTTATTTAAAAAAAGAGAATTCGAACATGCCTTCACATTTAAACAAGTTGCGATTTGTTTCAGGTCTGAATTGAGTTCAGTTTGATGAGCTGGATCAGCTCCAAGTGGCTATTTTTGGATCAAGGAGTTTCGGCTGTTTCACAAGTCATGTTAACAAAACGGCTCTTGTTCTTGATTGATGCTGTGATCTTCAGTATTTGATGCCTTTTTCAGTGGGACAAAGCTGCGTTTGGAAATGAATTCTTTGTTTGTATAATGAGAAATAACAGTATCATGTTATATAACTATCATATTATATAAAAGAGTTATCTTATGTTATTCACTCATAAAAATTGACACAAAATTTTCTTTTCTTTCTCTTTTTATTTTTACATTGTAGATCCTACATATTTGTGTCACCACATGAGAATATTATCTCATGTAACATAAGATTAACAAACTCCTTGTATAATTAATAAATGATCCATCCATATTTTTTTTTTTGAAAACTTATCCTAAATTACCTTCTTTGAGACGAATCAGAACCCTTCAGTATCCTCACGTGTTCGGCTCTTTGAGCCGTCTATGAGACTAATCCAGAGTTCGGGTGCGAGTCCAAGAATTACGGTACTTATGCCCCTCCCCAGATAGTGTTGGTGAGATTCGAACCGAGGCCTCTTCCCACCATTCAATCCTCATGCTACCAACTGAGCCACCTCACTTATGTGCATATTTATGAATGAGGATTTGGGTGGAAGTACAGTACACTTCACATCCATCAAGAAGAATAACATTGATTATATACTAACGGAACAATAATATCATCACATGATTAGTTACTTTCTTATTAATGGTAATTAAATATCGGTTTCGCCTGCTTAAACTTAAATCATCTAATAAATTCAATTATTGATGGCTCGTGTCTTATCATGCATGTTGCATTTAAAATATGAATAGAGTCATGCCAGGTTAGCCTTATCCCTTACCTTTTGTTGCCCGTGATCTCCAAGACATACTTTTGATTAATTATTATTATTACTATTATTATTTATAGACACTGTACTTCAAGGTGGTTTAAATAAAGGGTCAGGTCTAATTAAAGATTTTCAAAAGTTTTATGATTTTACTGAATATAATTTAGGAGTGGCACTGGTATCCTCACGTCAAATCAATTGACTTTCTAACTCAATATTAGAATATTACTTTACTTACAAAAATAAAAAGAATGTTACTTTTGAAAAACGTAACTAAAGTATAAAAAAATTCAGATGGAAGTTGAGAAAACAAAAAATGATAAAATTTTGCTGTGTTTTAAATATGATTATGATTTTATTTTAATTACTCAATTAAGCATGAATATCTAACTTTGGTGCTTAATAAATAACAAACCTACATAAAGTTTGCGTTTATATATTAAAATAAAATTTAGTTAAATTTCTTAATCTATTCTTCTTTAAATAATGACAGTTGTCTTTCTTAACTTAATTTCTTATTTAATAAACCTGACCATTCTTCCTTTCTTCTTCTTTTTCTTTTGTTGATAAAACAAACTTGACTAGTTATAGAAATTTTTATGAGCTTCAATTGTTTAGTACTTGGACAGTTGGACACTTGTACCATAGAAAAACCTGGCAGGAAAAGATGGGCCCATTCTGCTGTGGACCGGGCTGTTGAAGTTCGAGAGCAGGCCCAACTCCGTCGGGTTTTCAAATCCTGAAGAACATTGGTCTTGATTGATGAGTGCTTATATTAAGGCACACTAATCAATTGAATTTTCTCGTTTGGATGAGCTTTTAAAAGAACTTTTTATTAGTTGCTTTTTTTAGAAGAACTTTTTTTAAAAGTTAAAGTTATTTTGTGTTTGGATGTAATATTTAAAATGTGCTTTTAAGTAAAACTATCATTTGGATATTTAAAAAAAAAAAAGCACTTTTTAATATAAAAGGACCATTGTGCCCTTGTTACTCACTCTATTTCCATGGCACATTGGCAACATCATCTCCTCCGCTCACCGACAAATAGAAGAAGGGAATGGGTTCAAATAGACTAGAGGTAGGAGGTTCACAGAGATTACAAGCATTGGTTGATCATTTTTTCTCTTCGAAACCAATACCCAACAACCCCAACAATTCTAATTCGATGCACAACCAAATCTGATTTAGCACAAAGAGAGTTGCAGTTCTTATCTGTGTTTTTGAAGATGCCGATGGCAATCTGTGAGTGATTCTCACCCAGCGAGCTTCTTCTCTCTCAACCAACTCCTGTCGACAGTCAGACACATTTCCATTTCAACCTCCCTCGTACTAATGCTCTTCTGGGTTACTGTTTTCGATTCTTAAACTCATAAAGTTTGGGTCTTTATCCACTTGCAATCTGAGATTTCATTTTCTCCCAATGGAAATGGATTCCATTTCCATTCCCAACTGCAAGAGAGCATCAGAGTAGCTTTTCGCTTCTACTTCTTTCAGAAGCCACAATTTTTAGCTTTTCAAAAAAGTAAGATTTTAACTTTTTTTACTGCTTCTACTTTTATTAAAAGCTCAATCCAAACGATCGAAAAAAAATCAAAAGCACTTTTTTTAAATAAAAAAGCAGCTTCTGGATAGGGAGAAGCCCATCCAAACAAGCTCTAAGAACACATCAATATCACGTAATTTATGTGTATGACTTGCAGGCCCAGGCACAAGAAATTAGTCGATTTAAGTATATAGTATAAAAACATTTAACCATTCTTAAAATTTTAATCTTGTCTTTATATCATTGATTTTATGTTTAAAATAATAATATTGTGTTTTATACACGTGATATTGTGACGAAATTTTGATTTGCAACATGACACGAAGATGACAACATACAAGAAAAATCAACATGCTTGGTCCTTTATTTATTATATTTTTATTATTATTTATATCCTTTGTTTATTATTTTTAAGATGTGGATTTTTCTGCATGATTGGCAAGCTGTGGCACGTGGTGACAATAGTATCGTTGGATTCAAACTCGGACATTTAAAAAAAGGAAAATCAAAGAGAAAAAGTATTCACAAACTATACCTGAAAAATCAAATTGGAGAAAAAAAACTTTAAAATAGTAATTTTTTTTTTCCTATTCGTTTCCGTACATGCGACCAATCTGAAAGCGTGTTTAATTTTCCAAAGCTTGTTAACATTTTTCGTTAACCTATTAGTCGTATAATAATGTGATTAAGTTCAGTTAACTATAATTGAATAATCAATTAAAAGAATTCTAAGTTCTAAACAAAAAAATCATCTAAAGAGAAATTACGATTTAAGAAAAAAAAAAAAAAACTAGAACGAAGACGGAGTTTACAAAATTTCCCAATTCTTTTTGCGTAGCTTGCCCTAACCACCCATATCTCTTCTCGGGTGGATCGCAACCGTCACCGGCCTGAAAATTAAACCACGCCGTTACCTAGCGGCGGCACCATCCTCGTTGACCGGTGGTCCCAGCTACTTCAGTTGCCGGCGGCTAAAGAAGACGAAGAAAGAAGAAAGAAGAAGAAGAAGAAGAAACGCTTTCCTTCATTCATTTTAAGCTCTTTGTTTCAATCACTTGGCGAATCGAACTGAATCCTGGAAGTAGCAGTATCAGCTTTCACTCCATTGGTAAACCTCATATTTGATTAAAATTTTCTCGAAAGTTTAACTTTGGCCGCTCGTGTGAGTTTGCAATTGTGGTTTGTCGTTTTTGCATTATTGTTAAAGGATGAAGAAGGAAAAACAAGGAAAGTTTGAAAAATTGTTACTGGTTAGGCGTTAAACTAGTTGTGATTTGTTTCTGGTCTGAATCGAGTTCAGTTTGATGAGCTGGATCAGCTCCAAGTGGCTCTTTTTGGATCAAGGAGTTTCGGTTGTTTCAAGAAGACTGATTACAAGTCATGTTAACAAACTTAACTGTAGTTGCATTTGGTTTTATAAATTCAACTTGATTTGACACTGAGCTGGATTTTTTTTTTTTTTTTTTTTTGGGTGTGATGAGTTGAGCCTAAACTGCTTTACCTTCATTCGACTAGAATTTCAAGTTTTAGGTAGATCGGTGTGATCTCAAATGCCTTGTTTTGTGCATCACATAAGGAGTGGAAATTATAAGCATAGAGGATAGTGGCACGTAGCAGCTGACCCAAAAATGCTTTAGCGGGATAGCTGCTGCAGCGAAATCACATAAATGACTGAAGTTCTGAAATCTGAACTGAACAGAGAACAAGATAGTGGGTGGGTGTGAGTGAACACAGGTGGCCTTGCTGGAAAACTGCAAAACTGGAGAAAATGGAGTGCAACTGAGGAGCTCTCAGTAGCTTGCCATTAAACTGTCGGAACTGTGATGGTGCTAGAACATACTATTTAGGAAAGTAGGTTAGAAGAAATAAGGATAGGCCCAATTGTATTGTTGAGTAGGCCCTATGAGTAATAGTAATTAGTGTAAATTGATATTGTTAGATATGTTGGTTATAGTTACCTTCTATTAATTTATATTGTTATATTAGATAATGTACTCTGATATTAATTGAGAGTTTAAATGTACTGGATCAGGTTACTTTTTAATAATTGATATGTTTAGATACAGTAGACAGAGTTACGTTATTTTAGAGGTTATTATTAGATGCAATAGTTAGGATTTCGATAATTAGGAGCATACTCCTCTAGGTCAGCAGTAGGACAAAAGGAAACAGAGGGCAGAGAAGCAGGCAGGGTGAGATTAGAATTGAGTTCTGGTGAGAGACCGGGTTCTCGAAATCCTGGATCCCAGTCACTTGTATTCACTACTTTTTCTTATATTTACCTTTGTTTTCTCCAAAAATCTCTGAAATTCTGGTCCATTTCTATCAACTGGTAGTTTTCTATCAGATGGGCTTGCCAGAAAGTCTTGAGAGAGAGAGAGCAGTGAGTGGAAGAGAGGCTGTGAGTCAAGAGAGGAGTGAAGCTCGATAGGGTTCACAAAGTTAACATGGGCTCGTTATCAGAAAAAAAGGGTTCAAAGTCGATTTTGTCCCCTTAAATTTCGCATGGGACACTGCACATCTGGGTTCATTCTAGTGGTGCGATTGGGCCGCAATCACGGCCGCTACTCCAAATCGTTGCGTTGCATAGTGTTTGTTGCGGAGGGGGCCATCTACGCTTTGCTATGCTGCAATCATGTGCTATTAATAACAGAATATAAGCTCAAATTGTCCTGTGATATCGATGTTTGGTGCATTTGCTTGGCAGTACAATGCTATCTGAATAATAATGTCATATAACTGGGTTAGGTTTGAGCGTGCGGGACGAAATCAGATAGGAAACATGATGCATAATCACAAATCCCCTATTTGCTAGGTGTAAGGCAGAAACTGATCTCCCAGTTGGAATGGAGGGTCTCCTCTTTTTTCAAACTGGCATTTAGCAGTAACTTTTCCGCTTCGTCAATTGGAAAATTTTAATCAGTCTAGTGGGTCTACCTCCTTGTGTGGTGGGCCATTCTTTACAACTTGATGGGGTTGACTCAGGACTGTGAGTTGCATATCTGGCCTCTTATTAGTCTGACATTTTGTGGTTGGCTCTCTTTTTATTTGAAATGTCCTGACACTAGCTGTAATGATCTATTAATACTGACTAAAAGTTTGTTCTCTTCCTTATTTATTCTTCTTTGATTTCTCTGTGTGATGTTAAATTTCTTTCTTTTTTTAAATCAACAAAGGTCCTAAATTGACATTTAATTATATTAGTAAGTCATATTCAATCCTAACACTAACAGTTTATAGTGTATCTTAACCCTATCAGGTAGCTTATGTGGTACTTTGTCAAACAATGGATAATATAGAGGGCTATTGGTTCCTTGTACTAGCAGGTTTTGTCAGTTCCTGGTATCCCATTCTATACTATTTTATACGATGGACCAAACACCACCTAAATGGTCTCTTCCTTGTCTACCCTTGATCATTGGCTGCAATTTGGTCATTGCATATTTGCATCTAGGAGGAGAAAAACATTAAAGTGAGAGTGTGAGCTCTGGTAGATATGTACTAAATTGAAGAGAAATCTACATTTCATTATTGTTGCCTTTAATTTAAGGTTGTCAAAGGCACTACCCTTCAATCAATGAATTGTAGAAAGCCTTTTATCATAAAAAGAAAAATTTGTAGAAAGCCATATAATAGAAGCTGAAGTGTGCAGTGCAGGTGAAGAAAATTTGTCAGAATACTTTTCCTTTTTACTGAACAAGAAGGAATGTTCACATCTTTGGTATGTCGTGCTCTGTTCATAATCTAACTGGTCAAAGCAGAATGAACCTTCATTAGTGTTGTGAAAAGCAACGTGCAGGTGAAGAAAAATAGTCAAGAATACTTTTCCTTTTTACTGAACAAGAAAATCTAACACATGGTCCAAAATAATCCTTTTAACTTGTTACCAACTTAACAAGTGTTTTCAATCACAAAATTGTTCACGTCTTCAACGGTTTAAGACATTTTTCTTGATTAGACGCAACTAAAGCTAAGGTTTTTGCATTGTGACTTGGTGGTCACAAGTTCTAGCATCAGAAACAGCCTCTTTGCTCATATGGGCAAGGCTGCATACCTCTCACCCTCCCCAAATAATACAAAAATGGAAAGTGCCTTGTGCACCAGGCTACCCATTAGACACAACTAAGTCATTAATGAGATATTCCTTTTGTCATTTACATATGTGACATATAAAAGGGTGATATCTTCATTTTTTTCTTTTTATCATTTGCACATCACATATTGTTGTAAATAATAGTTATTTTCTTATTTATTAATTTATTTGTTGTATTGGGCCAAGCCCATTAGGTCAAGTATTAGGTCTTTTGTTCTCTATAAATAGAGAACCCTTTGTACAGATTATTTACAATTCTATAATATATCAGAATACCCTTTTTCAAGTTGGTATCAGAGTTCTCGATTCTGAGGGTTCTGCTTCCGCAAATCACCGTCTTTATAAAACCAAACCCTATTTGCCTCTCGCCGCCACAAAGCCGCCGACGGAATTTTTTTTTCTGGGGACCTTTTGGACCGTGAGGACCCCTGTTTCACTCTGTTTTTCTTAGATCTATCATTCTACGGAGGTTTCTTTCTCATCAGACGACCGGAACAGCTCAAAAAAAAAAAAGCGCAGTACTGTTCATCGCGCACTGTTCAAAAAAAAAAATTGTTTTTTTGTTTTTTGTCTCCTCTACCCGGATTTGTGTTTTTCTCTCTGATCTGACGTCGTTTGGGTGTCCGTTGTGTGTTCTTTGGTGCTGTTTTTCAGTCTTTCTTATCATTATGGCCAATTTAGAAGATGGTTCTCCATATGTGAATATTCAGCAAAGAAAGTTGGATTAGCTTAAACCAGCTATTGATAATATGTGTAAGCCATCTGACCGTTCTTTGATCTTGTCTGGTAAGAGCACACGTTCTACATCTCTTCTTGCTTCTTGCACTGATTTTAAAACCTCATGGATTTTGGATTCTGGTGCAACTGATCATATGGTTTGTCGTACTGAGTTTTTTCGTTCTTATCATCCTACTGTTGGTAGTCATACTATACCCGTAGCTGATGGATCCCATAAATCAGTTATTGGTTCTAGTAACATTCAAATTCAACCTTCATTGTTTCTTAAAAATGTTCTTTATGTTCCTCAGCTTTCTACTAATCTTATCTCCACTCAAAAACTTACAACTGATTTGAATTGTTCTATCACATTTTTTCCTTCTCATTGTGTTATTCAAGATCTTACCACAAAGAAGACAATTGGAGTTGCTAATGAGCAGGATGGGTTGTATCATCTCCTTCCAGAACATGCTATAAATGATAGCAAAAATCAGTTATTAATGACACATCATCCTTCTACTGCAGAGTCTATGATGTGGCTCCATCACAAGCGTCTGGGGCATCCACCATTCAGTCTATTGAAGTCTATGTTTCCTTCTCTGTTTCTTAATCAGTCGGTTGAGACCTTTCATTGTGATGTTTGTGAATTTGCAAAACACCATCGAGTGTCATTTTCTGCTAGCACTATTAAAAGCAGCAAACCTTTTTCTCTTATCCATTATGATGTTTGGGGCCCTTCTAAAGTGCATAGTGTTTCAGGTGCAAGGTGGTTTATTTCTTTTATTGACGATTATACTCGGGTAACATGGATATTCTTGATGAAAGACAAGTTTGAAGTACCAGAGATATTTATTCGGTTTCATCACATGGTTGAGACTCAGTTTGGTAAGTGTATTAAAAGACTAAGATCTGATAATGGTACTGAGTACGTCAACCAACGCCTGTCACAATTCATTTCAGACAGAGGTATGATTCATGAGCTCACATGTGTTGATACCCCTCAACAAAACGGGGTTGCTGAAAGAAAAAATCGTCACCTCCTTGAAGTTGCTAGAGCACTACTTTTTCAAACATTTGTTCGTAGTTCTTATTGGGGAGAAGCCGTGTTAGCTGCAACCTTTTTGATCAACCGTTTACCTTCACGGGTCCTTAACAATACCAGTCCTATTCATTCCATGACTTCCTTCTTTCCTTCTGTTCCCATATTGCAGAGCCTTCCACCAAGAGTGTTTGGATGTGTTGCCTTTGTCCATGTTCATAAACAACATCGGAGTAAGTTGGATCCTAGGGCTCTTAAGTGTGTATTCCTTGGTTATACCCTTTATAAAAAAGGATACAAGTGTTATCATCCACCAAGTCGAATTTTTTTTGTTTCTATGGATGTCACCTTTCAAGAATCTTAATCTTATTTCCCGGGTCTTCATCTGCAGGGAGAGAACAGTTCTTCAGAAGACTCATCCCCTTCCTTCTTTGAGTCTGGATCAGTCTTGTCTACTCCTACACCTCTTCCTAGTGTGTCTGCTCCTGGTGTGTCAGAACCTTCAAATACATCAATCTTGTCTACTCCTACACCTCTTCCTAGTGTGTCTGCTCCTGGTGTGTCAGAACCTTCAAATACACCTGAGATACGAAAGATTTTGACACCTGAATTGGTATATCAGAGGAGGAAACAACCCATACTGTCTCACCAGCAACGTCAATCGTCTGAACCACTGGTAAGTCCTGAATCTCCTGTTTCTTCTGAATCTCCTGTTTTTGATTCTAATATTATTGCCTTTCATGATTTGTCTATTTCTTCTGATATCTCTAATGATTTACCCATTGCTTCTGCTTCTGATGACTTACCTATTGCCCTAAGAAAAGGGAAAAGATCTTGTACTAAGAAATCTTGTTCCTCCTGTCCCTCTTGTACTCAATATCCTATCTCTCATTTTGTTTCTTCTACTAATCTTTCTGTGCAGCACAAAAGTTTTGTTTCAGCACTAGATTCTATTTCAATCCCAAAATCAGTACATGAAGCATTGAAAGATGGGAATGGGCTCAAGCCATGCAAGAGGAGATGAATGCGTTGGAGAGAAATAAAACATGGGAGGTTATTGATAGACCCAATGGAAAGAAAGCAGTAGGGTGCAGATGGGTGTATGCTCTGAAGTATAATTTTGATGGCACTCTTGAGAGATATAAAGCTCGATTAGTCGCCAAAGGTTACACTCAGACCTATGACATTGATTATGTAGAAACCTTTGCTCCAGTTGCAAAGATGAATACGGTGAGAGTCTTGTTATCCCTTGCTGCTCATTACAATTGGGATATAAATCAATTTGATGTGAAGAATGCTTTCCTTAATGGTGAGTTAGAAGAAGAAGTCTACATGGAAATCCCTCCTGGTTTTGATTCTGTGAATGGAGAAAATAAAGTTTGTAGATTAAAAAAAGCCTTGTATGGATTGAAGCAGTCACCTCGTGCCTGGTTTGGAAGATTTACTAAGGTTATGATGACCTTAGGATACAAACAAAGTCAAGGAGATCACACTCTTTTCTTTAAGCACTCCCAAGATGGGAAGCTCACTGTGCTCCTTGTATATGTTGATGATATTATTATCACATTTGATGATTTTGTGGAGAGACATATTCTGTAAACAAGACTAGCATCTGAGTTTGAAATTAAGGACCTTGGGAAACTAGATATTTCCTAGGGATAGAAGTAGCTCATTCAAAAAAAAAGGAATTTTTATCAGCCAGAGGAAATATGTTCTTGATCTTCTCAAAGAAGCAGGAAAGCTCGGGTGTAAACCCTCTAATACTCCTATTGAGCAGAATCACAAGGTAGGCTATGAAGAGGAGAGTCCTCCAGTTGATAAAGGACAATATCAACGGCTAGTTGGGAAATTGATATATCTGGCTCATACTAGACCAGACTTAGCTTATGTTGTTAGTGTTATCAGTCAGTTTATGCATGATCTAAAGGAGAAACACATGCAGGCAGTGGAGAAAATTCTTCAGTATCTTAAAGCTACTCCTGGTAAAGGACTGTTAGTCCGACGTGACGGAGATCTTTCTTTAGAAGTCTACACTGATGCTGATTATGCTGGATCTGTGACTGACCGTCGTTCTACCACTGGTTGTTGTATGTTTCTTCGTGGTAACTTGGTGACGTGGAGAAGTACGAAACAAGATGTGGTTGCCAGATCAAGTGCAGAGGCTGAATTTCGAGCTATGGCTCAAGGTATCTGTGAGTTACTGTAGGTAAAAATTGTACTTGATGATCTCAAAATAAAATGTGAGAGACCTATGAAGTTGCTATGTGATAATAAGTTCGCTATTTGTATAGCTCATAAGCCAGTTCAACATGATCGGACTAAACATATTGAGGTCGACCGGCATTTCATTAAAGAGAAACTTGATAGCGGGTTGATTACCACTCCATACATTCCCACTGGACGTCAATTAGCTGATGTATTGACAAAAGGACTTCCTTCAGACAGATTTCAAGAGCTTACTAGCAAGCTGGGAATGAGAAATATCTATTCCTCAGCTTGAGGGGGAGTGTTGTAAATAATAGTTATTTTCTTATTTATTAATTTATTTGTTGTATTGGGCCAAGCCCATTAGGTCAAGTATTAGGTCTTTTGTTCTCTATAAATAGAGAACCCTTTGTACAGATTATTTACAATTCTATAATATATCAGAATACCCTTTTTCAAGTCATATATTATAAAATAAAGTTACTACCATGTTTATAGCTATCAAATGGGCTGACCTGGTTCTGCTTGATGCGTCATTGTTAGCCCTATGTCAGCTGGATTAGGTTGAAATATTTGGTAAATAATTTCTGAATTTGTCTGCGCTAACCAAATGAGTTGGTGGATTAAACAGGCTAACTTGTTTATCACTTAAGAACTTTTTTTTTTTAATATGTAAACAAGTGATAAGAATTAGAATAGAACTGGACGAGAATTCAGGGAAGAAAAGAGAATGAAAAAACAGAATTTTATTTGAAGAAGCTTTCATAATCTGAAACAGTGAAGAATCCAGATTCAAGTAAAGAAAGATTGGTTTACAGTGTGTTATTCTCTCAGGAATTCAAGAGTCCGGTCTGTCCCTCTAGAGCTAACTGTCTCCAAAACTAAACTCCCATGCTATGCTCTCCCTCTCCTTATAACCTGTCTCTGACCATTCCGTTACAGGTCTAACTGCTAAAAGGGACTAATCCTAAATACTTTAACTAATTGTTGCCAGCCCATTTAGTTCATTGAGCCTATTTTTATCTCTTTCTAAAATAGACTTTCCTAATTGGGGTTCTGTTGCTAACAAATTACCAAATGATAATTGTCCCCAAATTGAGCATCATTGTCTTTTACCTTGGCATGATTATGAGAGTTGGGATTTGGCTTAGATTATATCAATGACATGTGTAGTTCTCCATTGAACTGTTTTTTTAGAATGATACCATAAGAATGTTGATCTGTGTATGCAAATACTTACCTTATAAAAAAGCTATTTCAGATCCAATCAAGAAGCCTTTGTGTTTCATGGTTGGCCTTCTATGCTTATCATCATCCTTCTATTCCAATTAACTTTTTCTTTGCTTTGCACAAGCAATGGTTGGTGTTGTTGTCATATGACCTGAAGGTCACAGGTTCGATTCATGTAATTAACCTCTTGCAAATGCAAGGTAAGAATGCCTACTATAGACCCACACAATGGGTATGACCCTTTCTTGGGCCTGCAGAGAGCGGGAGCTTTGTAGCACCAGTATGCCCCCTTTTTTTTTTTGCACCTTTTTCTTCGGTTTGTGCCTCTTAAATAGAACATTACTGGTTATGAGAAGTCCTTTATTAATTGGTTGAATTGTGAGAAGATGATATTTTTGTTTTTACATGCATGCAGTGGAGAGTGTGAGGAGGAGGATCCCTACTATCTAATGTACAATTTACATGCACAATATTTTGGTTGTATATTGTTATTGTACCTGAAGTTCATATGTTGGCATTTTCCTTTTTGGTGACAGATAGCATTTTCTGGCACATGCCATCATATTCAATTTGCTTTCTAGAAATTAAATGAGAGTAATGGAAGCATTGAATTACAGATTGGGAGCTATTTTGTTACTTTTCTATTGGATCTACATGGAAATTATTTTTAATATTATCTTTTGGTGCAGGTGTTATGGAGATATCATTGTTGAAAATGCTTGCTAATGGCATATCCTCATTTTTGCATTTATCATATTCTGGAAACATGAACTCAGAACCTGTCTCAAAGTATTACCAGAAGGCAGAGGAGATACTTAAGTTGTTGAAACCAATCATTGATGTGATTGTTAATTCTGAGTTAACTACTGATGAAATGCTTAATAAGATATTCAAAGAACTTGGTCATGCTGTTGATGAATTAAAGGAGCATGTTGAGAACTGGCACCTATTGTCCAGCAAAGTTTACTTTGTAAGTCTCATAATATCTTTAACTCTTAGTTTGTAGATCTTAGATGACATATTTATCGTAGTTGTTAATTTAATGAAAAATCAGCTGAGTTTCCTTTATGGGGTGGTTGTCCTTGTCATTTCTTTATGTGCATATTCAATTTTAGGATAAATGTTTTCAATATTTTGTTTGTCGGCGAGGAAATCATGCTAATTATTGCTGCCTCGAATAGAGGAACATAATTATAATAACATTGGTTTATTTTGTCATTTTCTGTCTCCCTCCTGCCCTCGATATCTTTTTTTCATCTTCCTTGTTCTTCTCCTTTCAGCATTACTTCATAGTGTCTCACTTTGTGCTTAATCAGTGATTTGGTTTGTGTTTTCTGTGTGCACCTTTATTTTAATTGCTTTTTCAAGTTCATTTATTTTTTATAATTAGAATTTTTTTCTTTTGGAGAGTCAATGACAAAGGTTCAGGATCCTAATGTATCGTAATATTATTTAGTGGTAAATGGAGAACATATGGTGGAAGTGGATGTGATAACGTGGTGACTACATTGTTGTATTCAAACTGCAGCAATTTTTATTCTATTATTTCATCATCTTTATTTTGTTTTGGTGATGATCCTGCATCATCATTTGTAACATATTGTTTGGAAAAATAAATTAATCTGTACTCTTTGAAAATTTGTACCTCTATCATTGTATTTAGCATCTCCACAAGATTAAAATTTGTAGATTGCAACTTACATGAACTGAGTTCACATCCGTCACAATCCAAATTCTGATGTCATGATTGGCACACATGATATTTGTCTTAAAAGCCTGGCAAGCCTATCTAACAACATGATTTAGTTACAGCATGATATTTCATAAAAAATATATATTAGATTACTTGAGATTAAAGAATAATTGTATATTGAATAATCATAGTGTGTTACAATGTACAAGAGCTCTCTATTTTAAAGAGACTAAAAGACCTAATGGGCTGAGCTCATAAGATGTGGGACTATATATACTGAACTATTCTGACAACTATTCTAACACTCCCCCTCAAGATGGAGCATATATATTGTAAGCACCCAGCTTGCCACAAATATATTCAACCCAAGGACCCCTAAGAGCTTTAGTGAAGACATCCGCGAGTTGATCATTAGAGTTGACAAATTCCGTTTTGATTTCTCCTGACTGAATCTTTTCTCGAATGAAATGACAATCGATCTCTATATGTTTGGTTCTCTCATGAAATACAAGATTAGAGGATATATGTAGTGCAGCTTGATTGTCACAAATGAGAGTCATGGGTTGTTTCTGTTCACAAAGATGGAGCTCCCGAATCAACTGCTTTAACCAAATTAGCTCGCAAGTCGCAACTCCCATTGCACGATACTCGGCCTCTGCACTAGATCGGGCAACAACAGTTTGTTTCTTACTTTTCCAAGAAATCAGGTTTCCTCCACAAAAAAACACAATAGCCTGAAGTAGAGCGCCTATCCGAGGGTGATCCTGCCCAATCGGCATCTGAATAACCACAAATTTCTGTATTTCCCTGATCTGAATATAATAAACCTTCCCTGGTGCTCCTTTGATGTAACGAAGGATCCTAACAGCAGCATCCCAATGAGAATCACACGGAGAATCAAGAAACTGACTAGCGACACTAACAACAAAAGAAATGTTCGGCCTAGTCACAGTGAGATAATTGAGCTTCCCAATCAACCTCCGATAACGTCCAGGATCAGATAATGGTTCTCCTTGTCCGGGTAGTAATTTGATAGTAGGATCCATGGGTGTATCAACTGGTTTACACCCCAACGTACCGGTCTCCTCTAGGATATCCAAGGCATATTTCCTTTGACAGATAGAAATGCCCTGTCTAGACCGTGCTACTTAAATTCCTAAGAAGTAACAAAGCTTACCAAGATCCTTTTTTTGAGATTGACTGAACAAATACTGTTTTAACTGGTGAATCCCAATTTGATCACTTCCAGTGAGAATAATGTCATCGACATAGACTAACAGATAGATGCATTTGTCAGGAGATGTGAAACTATAAAACTCAGAATGATCGACCTTACTGCGGATTAAGCCAAAAGCCTGAACAACAGAACTAAAACGGCTGAACCAAGCTCGAGGGGACTGCTTGAGGCCATATAAGGACTTACGAAGTCTGCACACCATCCCAGACTCCCCCTGAGCAACAAACCCAGGTTGTTGCTCCATGTAAACCTCTTCTTGTATTCATTTAATCTATATAATGTAATAAAAATTACACAAATACAAAACACTTTCAGCCATTCTCTCCACACTTCATCCGTTTCCTTAATATTCTTTCATCTTCCATCACTTTCTAACCCAAATACAAAACCTAGTAACTCTGAACTATCTTATTATCAAAGAAGATTTCCATTGTCATAGTTTTGATTCCTCTAGATTGTCTTAGTTTCTTCTCTATCACTATAATCTGAGTGAAAGACAAATTGTCAAGGGTGAGGGTTGGATTCAGAATCTCATATTTGACTTGTCAAATGCATGGATACTTGGTATTTTATTTTGTGAGAGATAATCATTTATGAACTTCTTAAAGAGACAATAAACATGCAGAGTCATTGGATTGCATGTGGATTCATATAAAAAAGTTTACTTCACAGGTGTAGAGGTAAATCTAATGGTACTGAAAAAGTTGAGTTTTTATAATTGCTTAAGCTTTTGGGTTGAATTGGTTCTTTACATGATATCAGAGTCTCCTGTCTTGGGTTTGATCCTCACCGCCCCCCACTTTCTCTTGTGGAATTTCTTAGCATAGGTAGGTGGGCCTGTGCATTGTCCACCCTTCAAGCCCAGTGGGCTCTCGTGTGAGGGAGCATGTTGAGATATATAAAACTATTAATGTAGCCTCACCCATAAGCTTAAGCTTTTAGGTTGAATTGATTCTTTACATATAGCATTACCTTTTTTCGAGGATACATGTTGATAGCCAGACATCACACCTTCCTAAAAGGTTGCTATTTCCCTTGTTTCCACCTTTGCGAGATGTTATTAGGTTAGAATTGAGCAGTGTGCAAGTATCTTTGCTTGATTTGGGCTGCCACTTGGTAGAAAAGAAGAACATGTTGTAGTTCTTTCGTTGTGACTGCATCTTATGGACGTTCTTAGTGTAATTCTTGCATGTTAAGTGCATGTCAAGTTCTCACTACTTCCTCTTTCTTGATCACTAGGTTATGCAAGTTGAACCCTTGATATCTAGCATTCGGACTTCAGCGCTCAATATTTTCCAGCAGCTGAAGGCTTCTCAGCAATGTGTTGGTGATGAATTGAGTTCTGAACATTTAGAGGTAAAATATTCTATTAATCAAAGTTACTTTAAGAGTCCCTGTTTAATTGGATTTATACGTTCATTATTGGAAAGAAACTTATGATGTATAATATCAATGTAAAAATTGCAGCATTGTGTTCAGAAACTTAAGCATTTGGGACATGAAGAAACCTTATCAGTCATTAAGGAAGCTATTACGGAACAACTGAAAGGTGTAGGACCCAGTGCGGAGGACCTGGCAAAAATTGCTGATAGCCTGGGCCTAAGGACTAATGAGGAGGTTCTGATTGAGGCTGTGGCCCTTGAAAGGTTGAAGGAGAATGCTGAACAAACCGAAAAGACTGCAGAAGCTGAATACATTGATCAAGTGATTGCTGTTGTAATGCATATGCATGAGCGTCTTGTTATGCTTAAGCAAGCCCAGAGTAGCAGCCCAGTTCCAGTACCTGCTGACTTTTGTTGTCCTCTTTCTTTGGAGTTGATGATTGATCCGGTGATTGTCGCATCAGGGCAAACCTATGAACGGGCTTTTATAAAGAACTGGATTGATCTTGGGCTTACTGTTTGTCCCAAGACACGTCAGACTCTGGCTCACACCAACCTAATACCTAACTACACTGTAAAGGCACTAATTGCAAATTGGTGTGAAGCAACCAATGTGAAGTTGGTTGGTCCCACACAGTCCACAAATTTAAATCAAGCACCTGTCCTTCATGGGTATATGGAGTCTGGTACAACCAGGGAATCACCTGTTTTTTCTCATTCCAGGAGCAACCTGCCATCGTCACCTGAGTCGGTTCGTTCTCGTTCTTTTAGTTCACCGGGTAATAACTTAACTTCTGGTGGAATCCAGCGAGAAGGAACGTCACCTTTGCATCCCCGTTCAACTTCAGAAGGTTCCTTAAGTGGCATGGTTAATGGGCAATATATGGATCTTGCAAGAATACCACCTGCAGGTTTAGATGACAGGTCTGCTAGCTCTGATGAAAGCAGTATGGATTCAGCTGGCCAGCCATCAATGTCACCATCCAGAATTGAATCTTCCAGTGCCTTTAGCTCTGAACAATCTCAAACCCATGTTAGAGCTGTTTCTGATTCCAGTGCACTTTCTATTGCAAATTTTCCTCAAGAAACACAAGCTGATGAGAACAATGCTCCTGGGCTGTCAACAAGTCCAGGCTACAGTAGAGATGCTTCTGGTGAATTAAATCCAGGGCCAGATGCTGCTGGTGCTGCTGCCATACCATCAATGCATAGAGAACCTGAGTTCCCACCCCGTTTGATGGAGGCAAGGTCTCGAAGCCAAGCTATATGGAGGCGGCCATCAGAGAGGCTTGTTCCTAGGATAGTAGCTTCTCCTGCTACTGAAACAAGAACTGATCTTTCTGCTATTGAAACCCAGGTTCGGAATTTGGTTGAGGGCTTGAGGAGCTCTGATCTTGATACTCAGAGAGAGGCAACAGTAGAACTCCGCTTTCTTGCTAAGCACAATATGGATAATCGAATTGCAATTGCAAACTGTGGAGCCATTAGCATATTAGTTGACTTACTTCGATCAGCTGATACCAGGATCCAGGAAAATGCTGTTACCGCACTTCTCAACTTATCAATTAATGATAACAACAAAGCTGCAATCGCAAATGCTGGTGCAATTGATCCTCTGATTCATGTGCTTGAGACTGGTAGCCCAGAAGCCAAGGAGAATTCAGCTGCCACTCTTTTCAGCTTATCAGTGATTGAGGAAAACAAGATAAGCATAGGGAGGTCTGGGGCAATTAAACCACTGGTAGATTTATTAGGAAATGGAACCCCTAGAGGGAAGAAAGATGCTGCTACTGCTTTGTTCAATTTGTCAATATTTCATGAAAACAAGAATCGGATTGTGCAAGCTGGTGCTGTGAAGCACCTTGTGGAGTTAATGGACCCAGCAGCTGGAATGGTTGACAAGGCAGTGGCTGTGTTAGCTAATCTTGCCACGATTCCAGAAGGAAGAGATGCAATTGCTCATGAAGGAGGGATTCCTGTTCTTGTTGAGGTTGTCGAGTTGGGTTCTGCAAGAGGAAAGGAGAATGCAGCAGCAGCTCTTCTACATCTTTGCTTACACAGGAACAGATACTTAAGCATGGTGCTCCAACAAGGTGCTGTACCACCATTAGTGGCTTTATCACAGTCAGGTACCCCAAGGGCCAAAGAAAAGGTATGGTTCTTTCATTATAGTTTAATATTTTAGTTGTCTTTTATTCTATTTCTATTATGAAAGGTGGTTATGGATTTTGTTCTATGTTTAGGCCCAGGCTCTCCTTAATCAATTTAGAAGTCAAAGACATGGTAATGCTGGGAGGGGCTGATTTTGAATTCCCAACCTCTTTGTGCTATTCGAAGGTTTTGTATTAACTCATATAGATCGTCTCTAATTTTTACATTACATGGTGCAAATAATGTGTAAAGGTGTTTTGTATTGTTTTCACTTGCTTGTAAAGGTAAAGAAAAATGCATGGAGGATTGATTGTGTCCTCTTGTGAAAAACCTTTTTTGTGATGTAAGAAAAATTATACATGTAACTCTAGCGTTTGTTTTAACCAGAAAAAAAAAATGTCTGGTTTTTGTTGCTGTGCAAGGGCATGATGGTTGTGGAAAAGCAAAAGTATTTGGTTTATGTTCATTCGGGGATGATTTTTAAACAAGCAAGGCCCTAATCATCTCGAATAAAGCATGGTATCAATCTACTAAAAATAATAATAAAGCATGGTATCAAATGCCCAACTTCATGCGTGTTTACACATGTAAATGCCATTCTTGCTTTCCTACTTTTTCATTTCCCCCGTAATAATTCATTTGTATTGTAGTATTGTTGTTGATGTTACACTTTATTCTGTTGAATGTATAAAAAAATATCATCTGCGAAAATTTCTCTTCATTCCCTCTTGAAGAGGTGACTGACTTCACTTTTTTCTTTTTCTTTTTTGGTATATACTGACTTCACTTTTTATACTATGGTATTCGTGGTTCACTTTTTCTATACCAATACTAAGGTATTCGTGGTTCCCTAATCCATAAGTTTTAGAAATTGAATTGTAAAATATGAACTTTTGGAACCGACCAAACTAGACCAGTCTTGTTTGTATTAGTTCAATGAAATCCTGGTTTGTTGCATTCTAATTCCTACCAATGCATCTTAAAAACCAATACACGTCATAATATCTTACTAATAGAATTAATCTAAGTCATAGTCTAGTACCTTTGTGTATGCTTATGATTTTGATTTATTTAAGATTCAATCTGAACTCAAATTGTTAATTGAATCATGCAAACCTGTTTTTGTAAAATATTGAATCAAAAATTGGCTTCGTTGGTTTTGTTCAATTTTTTACAAAATAATAATTTTTTTTTTGTAAAACAAGTAATTAGGATCAGCGACATACTAAGTTCCATTTATCGTTGGGCCAACGGAGCTTGTACTTCTGTGATTGGGAGGGATACCATTTCGAACTATAGTATTGGTGATTGCTATGTAAAATCTCATTCGAAGCTGACTCGGGCAAAATTTGTTGACGTTTAGTTGAGTTTTGAAAATTCGTAAATCATGCTACAACTAATTCCTCCGATTTAGTTTCAAAACATAATTATTTGTGTCAGAAAATTAATTTTTATTTAATCTAATATCAAGTATTTTTTTTACCAAATCGTATTTAAGATTTAGGAAAAATATTTCTCCTCCGAGAATAAGTTATATTCTGCAAGACTGCAACCCAAAACGTGGGATTAAAAAAACAAATACAGGGCATTTTGATTTTTTTTTTTTTATAACAAAATGGCCATTAATTTTTTCTCCAAATCCTAAAACAATATTATTTTAAAGTTGCAGGTCGCAAGCATTTACAATTTAAATTTATAATTCTTATACAACTCTCAGTTACCCAAACTATTTAGTGGATTCAAATAACAATTATTTATTCAAATAAATAAATAAAATATAAACGGTTTTAATTTCTACTTGGAAGTTAAAATATTCTTGGGCCTGGCCAACGGTCAAATATTTACAGTCACGGCACTTTTTTTGTTTATAGTTAAAAATTGAAAATATATATTGGAGACTGTGCTTCATGTGTATAAATTCGATAATTTATTGGTTAAAGTAATTATTCATTTAAGGACGTAAACAAAAGGTCTTTAGTTAGACTAACCAAACTTTTAAATGAATTGTTATTTGTGTGTGCATGCAAACCAATGTGCGTTCCAACTGGTACATAAGCCAACATGACTTATAATTTATTCCACACATTAATAACATCAATACAATTAAAACTTAACAAACAATTCACTATTTTGCATGCCACCATAAATCACTTCAACATCTCAACTCACCATACAAACTTAATTCCCACATTTAGTGGTATAAAGTTTACAACAAATAAATTATTGTGTCTCTTCTAATTAGTTCTCCTGCAGTTCTTCCTAATCTCCCCTTGTGACCCAGTTAAGGGTTTATTGTTTCCCATCTTAATCATTGCATTAACAAAGTCACAATCAAAGGCCTTATTATTCTTGCTGTATGTTTTAACAAGTGAATCAGTAGATCCACCATTGAAGAGAACCTGATCAGAATGTAAGAGACCCCTATTGATGAGGAGGTTCTTGTAGTACTTGTTATCAAAATGATTAGGAGTTCTGAAATCTAGATTTGCTAGATTGTTGTCTCCTGAGCCACTAGTCCTTGGACAGTTCCTCTGCCTTGACTTAGCAAATGAACTATTAATGTTGGTCTCATTATATATGCGATTTCTGAAACTAGTACACCTTGCTTTCCCAATTGTGTGAGACCCTGAAACCACACACAAAACATCATAAATAGAATTTTTCAATATCCTCACATAGATACACATATACGAGGGCTTGTCTTGGAGTAGCAATAAAATTATTGCTTGTGATAAGAAGGTTATAGGTTCGTGTCTAGAAAAAAACCTCTTTACACGAATATACGGCGGCAAGACTGCGTATAATCGACATTCACTCCTACTCTTGTTTAAGATTATTAAATCGCAAAACTATAATGTAACTATTATTTTATTTGATATATAAAATTGCTTGTTAATTTATTTTCTAGTTGTGCATGAAATTAATATGAATGGTAGTTAGTGCTTAGTTTCATTTATTTTCCCGGACATTGACATATCATGGATGGTAGACATATTTTCTCAGTTGGATAAACATGCTTTTCTTTTTGCTTAACTGTGTTGTTATGGAATCACATGACCTTAAGTTTTAATAAAGGACTCAATATTGGTGGTTGTTTAAATGTCACATCCTGATCCACCTTGTAAACAAATGGGTTTTATTTAGAAATAGTCGTATAAGAGAAATTTTATCTTCTACTCTCATTTCGATTTTCGTATTCTATTTTTTTCTTTTTTTTAAAATAAAAAAAAAAGTGAATTCCACCATTTGTTGTAAGAGTAGGAAAGAAGATTTATCTTATGTAACATAAAAAAATAAAATCCTAAACTTTATTAGGAAAAAGTAGTGTTATAAAAAACAAATCATATTATTAGAACATGTCCCCTCAAGACAGACAAAAAGGATTAATGGTTTCACATATAATGGAAGAGAGATAAAAAAAAAATGAAATACCAGATAAAGCAACCATGTCCTTGGCAGAGAGCCCTTGAGCTTTGAAGGTTGAGATAAGGATGCTTAGATTAGATGTAGGAGCTGGAATCACACCAGTGTTTGCAGCAGTGAAATTTGCTGTCGTTGAATCCCTTCTTCCAAGTTTAACATTCCAAGAAGGTCCTCCAAGCTGTAGAATACAACAAAATAAACCAACAGAACAAATAAATATTTTAATAAGGACCCTTATGTCAGAAACAACTAATTAGTCAATTATGTTAAGAAAATTAGTGATAAAAAAAGTTGATGAAATTCATTGTTTAGTGGTTGGTTTTGTTTGAACTCACGATGACAACAGAGTCACGAGAAGTAATGGCCAAGATATCAGCACATGACACCACACCGGGGCATACTTGTTCCACCTTAGATTTGATAGCATCAATTACTTCAAAACCTCTCACAGAATTGTTGTTCGGAGCTGCAGTTTTCTCTCCTTTGAAAGTTGAAGTGTCATCAAGTAGTAATGACCCATCACAACCCTGTTTCCAAGCACCATCATGCAACAAGTCAATTAATTATAGAGAAACATTTTACAAGGAAATCTGGTCCATGACCAATGACTTTACCATAAATCCGAATAAAAAATGGTGATATTTTGAAGCCTTACTAGGCAAAGGAATTATTTAGAAGGGTGCATTGCTAAGGAGAAATGAGATGCATGGTCAAAGGAAAAAGTAATTTTCTTTTTAATCATAGATATTTTATGTAAAGCTGGTTTTATGTTCAATTCTTTAATGTATAAAAAAATATAGATATTTTATGTAAGGAATTCATTTTTATTTTCCTCTATGGAAAAATGTGGATGTTAATTGTTAAGGAATAATATTATTTCACATTCAAAATTTCAAAGTGTCATTTTTTAAGAGAAAATAAAATAAAATACAAAATATCAAGTGGCGGCATTAACCAATGGGACATAGTTTCATTAATGCATAGTCATAGTGTCAAATTAATGCACTCTGTAGAACGTGTTCCTAAAACACACAAAACAAAAGAAGTGGGGTGCAATTCGGAATGTCGCATCATTCAGTAACAAATTATTGAACGAAAGAAAAACACATCATCATACAAATTGCCAGTAACAACTAAAAAGAGTTATATATGTACTTATTTGTCGTGAGATCTTAAGTTTGGAAATATTTTGAAACCCAAAGTTAAGTTTTGCAAGATGATACATGGGATATGTTTTTCTCATGTTGTATTAGATAAATTGTCAACACAGGGTAGGATTCATTTTTTTCTTTCTCTCTCTTCTTCTGAGTGAGTCACACTCATTTTTGTGTGAGTTGCATGAGATAAATTGTCTCATGCAACATGAGAAAAACATTTCCCATGATAATATTTTATTTTATATTATAGAAAAAATATTAATCCCGTAAAGAAAATTATATAACATGCAAAAGTTAGTTGAATAACTAATCTAGCTGAAAAGAAAAATAAAAACTTAGGATCACAGATTAGGAGAGTAAATTACATCAACAAAGCAATCATGGAAAAAGAGGCGAAGGAGAGATGCTCCCATGCGACGTTCTTTAGCCACAGCAGTTTTAACAACAGATTCTACAGCGTCGAAAACCTTTGGACATTTCTTAGAATAAAAGTTCTCAGAGAGTTGAGCTGAAGAGGTCCCTGTAAGAAGCAGGAACACAGCTAATGCAACAATAGCTGAAGATAATGAAGAGAAAGAAGAAGAACGAGAAGAAGAAATTGCCATTTTTTTTCTAGTGAAGCTACAGAAGATGAGTAGCTATAGTGTGAGAAACTGTGCATGTGAGAATCTCCAATATATAGACAAAGCATGAAGCTGGTAACTCACATGCACCCTCACCTAATAATTTAAGGGTTTTATGTTTATCATGTAACACGATATAACATCACTTTCCTACACACACATATTAAAGAGGTGGGGTCCACATGTTTTTCTTTCTCTTTCATCATTCTATTTTCTCTCTCTATTTTTTGTGTGTGTTAGAAATAACACTTAAATCATGTAACATAACACTAATAAAATCCATAATTTAATTAGAGTGGAACCAACTAGAGCATTGTTATAATGTGGATTTATTTGACCAATTGATAAGGATTGAAGGCTTTATTTATTTTTTCTATAAGTTGGGAAACACAAATTAATATGGTGTCCATGCTTTTGTTTTTAAAAAAAGTTTAGGTCCTCATTTGTTGCGTAGCTGCTAGGAAAGAACATGCTAAAGTTGACTATTAAAAAGTTGCAAAAAGCCCGTGCTATTTATTTTATTGTTATCAAGAGAAATGCCACTTGTATTGCAATTATATAACTGATATTATATGTTATTATATCAAATAATTTATAGATTAGGTTATCGGAAAAAGATTCCCTAATGAAATGGCTTTTCATGATAGATCTGGCTAAAAGAAATTGGATGTCAACATGTGGTGATTTTATTTTACCCATGCACGTATAATTTTTTTTTTTTTATATTATTTATGGGTTCATCAATTGCTGATTAATTCAATTAAATTGAGCTGAGTAGGATTATATAACAAAGTTTTTTTGACTAAGTTTTAACACAATTGTAGGAACTCGAATTCAATATCACACATTAAGTTAAAATAATTTTTTATTAATTAAATTACGTGCTTAATTGTTGATGCAGGTATAATTAACTTGCCCAGTTAACGAAGGAAGACACCGTTATCAGACTCAGACAATTAGAGTCTCGAGGTTGACAAAAAGGTCACACGACCCAATGTATGCTTTTCTCCAACACAAAGTATATTAAATCACTAGGAGACTGTGCAGGCGAAGTTCAAAGAGGAACAAGAAGAAACTCCAAATAGAGCTCGAACATACATGCAACATACCAATTCCAGTATAGAAAAATGTAAATTACAAATTAATCAACTTTCTTAATTTATTAAAAATGGAAATTTGGTCCTGTAAACGTTTTGACTTGACGTTTTTATATTTATAGCAGACGATAAAATATGTGAAATAAAAAATAATATCAGTTGTTATAAATTTCCTTGTTTACCTTATCTTGTTTGGAAAAAACAAGTATCATATTGTAGGATAATTCTCTTGTCATGTTATAAAGATAAGATCCACCACTTTTAAAATAAAAAAAATACAGCACAAATAACGATGTATACGTAAGAAATTCAACTTTTGTCATGTAATATGACAGATGCAAAATCCATCTTGTTTTATGATAAATAGAATTTTACATATTAACATTATATATAAAAAAATAAAAAATAAAAGAGATGGTGAATTGATTCGGTTTATAAAATTATTACATCTATCATACTATATCGAGGCCAGACCTTTTAAAATATATTTATGAATTGATTTTTAAATAGATCTTTGAACAAGTTATTAATTTTTAAAATAGTCAGGTCAAAAGTAAACTCCAAAATTAAAGAGAAGAAAACTACTCAATATATATATATATATATATATATATATATATATATATATATATATAAATATATATATATAGACTTATCGTTTCTCAAGCTGCTTGAGATAACTTTATCTCCGGCTACTAAATCATAACCGTACAAATATGGATCAATGGTAATAAAAGAAGAGAGAGAAAAAAGAAATCATAATCATTCAAAGGTGAATCAATTAATATACACTACTAGAAAAATTCTATATAGCGAGAGAATTGCTATGCAAATTCTGTCGCTAATTTCATCCTCGTTACTACTTTCCCTCGCAAATTCTATATAGCGAGGTGAATCATTCAAAATCGTTTGCGAGGGAAAGTAGTAGCGAGGATGAAATTAGCGACGAAATTTGCATAGCAATTCCCTCGCTCTATAGAGTTTTTCTAGTAGTGATAAGGAAATAAATAAATAAAACACCGTAATTTTGGGGTGACCGGAGATAAACTTATCTCAAGTTGCTGGAGAAATATTATTCCCTGTATATATATATTTCATTTTTAAATGCATTTCTTATCTAAACATTTTTTTTAAAAAAATAGCAGTATTTTTTCTTTATATATATATATATATATAAATATTTGACATTTTTTTTAGAAAAGTTCAAAAACTCCCCTTCACTATTGCTTTGAATCAATTACACCCCTATTTTTTTAACCCCCTTCTAATTTTTTCATCCACTTCCCTCCTTAAGATGGTTAGAAACTTGACTATATATGCCTACTTTATCCTTCTCATAAGAAGAAAATAAATTGATAAAAAGAAAAGAAAAATAAGACAAAATATTGTGAAAACGTAGAATAATTAATAAAAGACTAAAAGAAAAAAAGAAGATCAAATGTGTCTAAATAAAATAAAAAGAACAAGGACAAAAAAGAAGAAAAAATAAGACCAAATATGTTAAAAATCACAACAATGACAGAAAAAGTTAAAACAAAAAAAAGTAGTCTAAATAAAAAATATATATACTTAATACAACAAAATAGAAGAAAAAATAAGATAAAAAACAGAACAAAATGAAACCGCTGTTCTATTTTTTTTTTTAAATTTTTATCTTAATTATTTTTTCTATTTTTTTGTATTCAATATATATTTGTTCATTTAGACTATTTTTTTAATTTTAGTTTTTTCTATCACTGTTGTGACTTTTAACTTATTTGGTCTTATTTTTTCTTCTATTTTTTTGTCGTTATTATAATTTTTTTTATGTAGAGACATTTTATCTTATTTTAGTATTTTAAGTTTTCATAATATTTGGTCTTATTTTTTTTCACTTTATTTTTTTCTTCTAAGAAGGGTAAAGTAGGTATAGTTATTCAAGTTTCTAACAGTATTAAGGAGGGGTGAATGGAAAAAATCACAGGGATTAAGTGATTAAAAAAAAGAAGCATAGATGTGTAAGCGATTCAAAGCAAAAATACAAGTAGTTTGAACTTTTCCTATTTATTTTTTTTGGAGTTAATCCAACCTTAATTACCTCTTTGAGGCGAGTTGGCTCCCTCTGTTATTCCCATAAGCTTTGACTCTTCGAGCTGGCTATAAGACTATAGCGGGACGAGTCAGAGATGAAGATATTTAATCCTCTCCCAAAGACGGCATATGAGGATTGAACCGAGACCATTTCCTTTCCACTTACTCAGCTCCTTTGCTACCAACTGAGTTACCACCATTTGGTGGTGTTTGTTATTTTAATTGGTAATTTTTTATATTCTCTCTCCTTCACTTTCTCTCTCTTTCTAACTTTTTGAGGAGAGAGTGTGTAAAAATGCTAAAGATATTTACAACAACAACAAAAAAATGCTAAAGATATATCATAAAATTGATCATTTGACATTGGTGTCAAACAAAAAGTTTGTCACCTTATAAACTGAGGACAATTAGATCAAAGCAGATCAACGGTATCACATGCTTAGAATTCTTAGATCAAGACAAGATCAACGACTCTCAGACGAGATGTCAAACTTTTTTGTTGACATCGGTATCAAAGGATCTTGTCCTATATATATATATATATATATATATATATAGAGGTAGGATCCTTTGACACCGGTGTCAAATTTAAAATTTGACATCTCAACTACGCGCCGTTAGATCAAAAAAGATCAATGGTGTCACATGCTTACAAATCAGAGTCATTGATCTTTTTTGATCTAACGGCTCTCAGATGAGGTGTCAAATTTCAAATTTGACACCGGTGTCAAAGGATCCTGCCTCATATATATATATATATATATATATATATATATATATATATATGAGAAAAGTATTTCTGCAGCCACTTTAGATAAGGTTATCTACAGCTACTCCTTTTTAACTAAGTACGACCGGTCGTACTTAGTTATAACAATAAAACTGCTCTCTCTCTTTTCTCTTCTCAGACACTGTCGGCTGACATGGCAGAGAGAGAAAATGCACTTTTAATGTACGACTGGTCGTACTTAGTTAAAAAGAGATAGTTGTAGACAACCTTATCTAAAGTGGCTGCAGAAATGGTTTTTCCTATATATATATGAAGCAGGATCCTTTGACACCGGTGTCAAATTTAAAGTTTGACACCTCGTCTGAGAGCTGTTAGATCAAAAAAGATCAACGACTCTGATTTGTAAGCATGTAACACCATTGATCTTTTTAGATCTAACGGCTCTCAGATGAGGGGTCAAATTTAAAATTTGACACCGGTGTCAAAGGATCCTACATATATATAAAATCCTTTGACACTGATTTTAGCACCAAATCCTAACCGTTGATTTCCGCTAATCAATGATTATCGTTTGTTGGAAATTAATAATTAATTAATAAGTTTGATTGATAAAAATTATAATCGTTGATTGACGAAAATCAATGATTAATATTTGATTTCAAATTTCAAAGTTTGACACTGTTATCAACGGATCTGCCCATATATATGTGTGTGTGGTAAAATCATTTTTGCAGCTGTTTTACGTACAGCAATGACAGGTGTATGGTTATGATTCCCTGCATTTAATGCTTTCACATATATATATGACAAGTATTTAATTGTTGCACGTGCAGCAGCTGCAGAAATGTAAAATCCATATATATATATATATATACATATGGGCTTATCATTTCTGCAGCCGCCGTAGATAACACTCTCTACAGCTGACACAGAAAAGTGGGCCCACAGCGTTTAAAAAAAAATAAAACAAGGATCCGGTGCCGTATCCTGGGATCCGCACGCGGATCCTGGCTAGCTGTAGAAATCATTTTGCCTATATATATATATATATATATATATATATATATATATATATATGTATGGAG